AGCGTAAATGTGTTTATGATAACTGGTGGACAGTTTCTTTCCTACTGCGTAAATCTTGCTTTTACAGAGGTGAGGTATTCACTCTACCTTCCTAATTGTGTTGCCACTGACACCCATCTTTAGCATATAAATGTTTTACGGAAGTAACCTATGCAATAGACTGCAGGAATTTGAGTGGATGTGTATTATGGGGGCTATATGTTGCTGTTGTTTACTGATTATCTTTTTTGATTCCATCATGTCACTTCATTTTATTGTAAGAAAATTATTTGCTGTTTCCTTCCTTCTTAACTCATGCCTTTAGTAATCGTAGCAGTGCCCTCTATATATTTGATCAAGTAACTGGGGTTGTGGAGACAAAACTCAAATCACCAGTTACTGCTTTATTAATAGCTGAAGGGAAGAAACAAGATAGAAGTTGGGGTAGCATCAGTGAAGGAACTTCGTCTGTTCTTTCCTGCCTAACTCTAATAATGCATAGTTCTTTTAATCTTTCATTGCATGCTTCTGGCTTTCACTTTAATTCTTATAGCATTGTGCAGCCAGTTCACCTTACCTTATTATTCATTCTAAAGCTTTATTGGAAGTTTTCTTTATGTATGATCTACCAACCTAAAGAGAAAGAAAGATATAACCAAGTATCTTCTTAGAAAATCTTTTCATCGTTTTCATCATTAGTTTTCAAGAGTTTCTCAAATGCCAAAATCTTTTTCAATAAATCCTATGTCAATGACACTAGTAAATATTCTTATTTGGCTGCCTGAGTCATCATCAATAGCCTGAAGATGGAAAACATTACTATCGAGAGGGTTCACTTGTGAGTCAGTTCCCCGCATTTTACAGTAACTAGTAAATTACTGGTGACATATATGATATGTTGGAAAATCGGATACTTGGAGTTGCAGATGTTACGCTGCAGCGTCAATCAAGTAGCTCATCTCAAATAGTTGCAAGCATGTGCAGTCCTGACCTTATTAAATTTGAATTTCTAAAACTAAAAGGGGATTTAATGGTATTCAATGGAGAGTTTCTGAAATGAGAGCAGGATCAGGTTGTTTTCCCCGTCATTTTTTGATGCAATGGTATTATATTACTTGTACTTAAGGTTCTGATAATCCTCTGACTAATCTCTTCCTGAAATCTAAATCGAGCAGGTACCTGGGACATGGCGATGGATGCTGGGAGTTGCAGGTGTGCCAGCTTTTGTCCAGGCTATCCTCATGATTTTCTTGCCAGAGTCTCCACGGTGGCTTTTTCTCAAGGTGAGAAGCATTCATATTTCATATGACTTGATGAGTTACGGTTGAGATTAATATCTAATGTGCACCTGTTCTTATTATTTAATAATAGTAGTCCTTTCTATTATTATTATTTGTTTAAATTGAGGGACACAAAGGACATTTCCAAATACAAAACTTATTTAATTTTGGGCTTCCATTTACATACTTTTTCCACTCTGCCAACGAAATGGCTTCTTGGTGTCTGTCCTCCTTTTCGATCTTATTTTTTCTTCTTTGGGTGCAGAACAGGAGAGATGAAGCTGTGGTCGTGCTCACTAAGATCTATACCTATGAACGCTTAGAGGATGAAGTTGATTACCTTACTAATCTGGCTGAGCAAGAACGTCAGAAACGGAGCCAAGTTAAATACATGGATGTTTTCAAATCGAAGGAAATCAGAGCTGCATTTTTTGTTGGGGCTGGACTTCAGGTTTCAGAGACTTTACTCGAACTTTTTCATTGTGTCTAGATTGAAGTCCTCATGTTTGATACTGTTTAACCTAAATATCCTTTTGTCCAAATGTCAGTGCTGTAGTTCTTGGTTTGGATTCGATGAAAAAAGTAAAGCCATTTTGCCTCTAATGAAGGACCATATATGTGCAAAGAAATCAAAATGGACGTCCATCCCTGAGGTTGACAAGCCAGTAGCCATATTAAAATGGAAAAGAATCTCTTGTTTTAACGTTAATATTGCACTATATTCAATTGAAGAGTTTCCTTGTACAACAAATTGACATTAAATTGCACATAAAGTATCCCAATGAAAGCTTCTATCAATTCATTCTCACAGTCCTTCATATGCAATGAGCATCCAAGTTATTGTAAGCTACGATAAATCTATGCGAGTCATTAGTCTTGGCATGTATCAAATGTGTGCTTTCATAATTGCTTGCATTTAATGTGTATTGTTATGGGATTTGGTAGTGATCTGTTCTTGTGTATATCTTTGGAGATTGAAATTCATTAATTAGCTTGAAAAACTCGATTCCTTGCTCTGCAGATTTTTCAGCAGCTCACTGGTATTAGCATAATTATGTACTACAGCCCCACAATCATTGAGATGGCTGGGTTCGGTTCCAATCAGCAAGCTCTTCTTCTATCTCTCATTGTTGCTGGGATGAATGCTGCCGGGACAGTTCTCGGCATTTATCTTATTGACCATGTAGGACGAAGAAAGTTGGCCATCTCATGCTTATGTGGTGTTATTGGATCTCTGGCTGTTCTCTCAACAGGGTGTTACCTTGAGGCGTCTGACCCTTTAAATAGAATCTATGGGTATATCGCAGTTATAGGGTTAGCCCTATATATTCTTTTCTTCTCACCAGGGATGGGGCCTGTACCCTGGACCGTGAACTCTGAAATCTATCCTGAAGAATTCAGAGGAGTATGTGGGGGCATGGCAGCCACCACGAACTGGATTTTCAGCGTGGTAATGTCCGAGAGCTTTCTGTCGGTTGTCGATGCTGTGGGGCTTGGTTCGAGTTTTGTGATCCTCGGCATTATAGCTGTGATTGCACTACTCTTTGTGATTATATTTGTGCCCGAGACAAAAGGCTTGACGTTCGAAGAGGTGTCATTGATATGGAAGGAGAGAGCTTATGGAAAGAACCAGAACACACAAAACCTTCTTGGGCAAGAAAACAGGACTTAGGTGTCTGCGTCTGCATGGTTTGACGCCAGTGATAGCATTGTAATACTGTCACAGTATGTGGATTAAGTGAGAGAGAGGATTGGAACCGTTGAGACTCGCCTGAGATTTAGAATCACCCACATTCTTTTTTTCTTCCAAGCAGAGATGGATCTGCTTGTTACTTCTTGGCAGCTGGAGTGATGGATGAAACTTGGTATTTTGGCTCTGAGAATGAGGTGATGTTAATTATGTATAGTAATAATTCATTTGCCCCTCTTCCTTGAGATGCATCTCAAGACTTGGGTGACGATCCTACTGTATTATTGTGATTACAATAAGGAAGGAATCATATCTTTAAATTGGGTAAATTGTATTGAGTAGGGCATTTTGTGTTTTTTTTAATTATGTTGTTTTTTTTCAAAAAGAAGAGTCAAATTATTGTTTATAATTATTTTCCTGACAACCAGAAAATGATCATGTTTGGAGGTGACAACAAGCAATGATGAAACGCAATAATTTTTGTTAGGTTAATAATTTTTTATTCCTAAAATTTGGATCTATTTTAGTTTCGAAATCTCAAATTTTGAATTTGTTATTTTAGTTTTTAAAATTTAATTCATTCTAAAACGTTAATTCTTTCAAATATAACGGTGTTAAAAATATTGCAAACAGTAATGAAGTAGTAATGCGGACCTACGGGATATCATTTAGATGGATCTTGTATGGGTAATAAAGCAAAAAAAAAAAAAAAAAAAGGTTTTCAAAACGTAATTGTTTACCGTGGGCTCAAGAAGTAGATCTTTACCTAAGATGGATATCGTTCTGGGATTAAAGTTTTTAACTAATTTTATTCTTTTATCTTATATATTCTCTTTATTAAAATTTTATGACCCAACTTTTTAAAATTTTAAATTAAAATTTAAAATTTTCGTTCCTTCCCTAGTTCCCTTGTACCAACCAACCATACATAGTGCTACTGCTAAGAGAAGGATGAGATTTTATCTGGAATGCTCTTAGAGCTCACTCTGATTCTGTATCAATATTCAGTAGGTGCTTTCCTTGGCATTAATATTCAGTAAGTATCGTCTCCCTCCCAATCTCTTCTCCTAATTCTATTCAGATGACAAATATCATGTGAGCTGCTCTGAGACATTATATGGGTATGGAGTCTGCTTCGCCACTTCTGCCTCTCTGTTTTCTTACCATTTTGATTTCCCTCTGCTTCCCACGTTTTTTGCCAGTACGGAAACCAAGAGTCACATTCGCTCAAGCTTTTCTCAAAAGTAATCTCAAATAATGAGAATTAAATTAAAATCTATTTTCAAAATTTTCAAGAAAAAAAATGTTTTTCGATTCTCTAGAAGAGAAAATTAAGATCTTCTTTCTCTTCCCGCTCCCATGTCTCCCTGCACCATTTGTTCACACTCATCTTTGTATCCCTGCATCGTTCACTCGTTCATCCCTGTATCTCTCTTCAATCTGCAATAACACGCTATGTTTCTGTTTCTGGGTAGGTTTTCGATTTCATAGCTTTTTTCTCTCTTGCTTCTTTCATCTTCTATTTTTCCTTCATCTTTTCTTCCTCTTCTTCAATAGTGTTCTTCTTCAGTCATCATCTTCTTTATCCTTCGGCCTACACTTGAAGCCAACGCTATTTTATTCGTTTTCTTAAAAGTAAAACAACCATGTTTTTCAGCGTTTATTGAGACCGGTTAAACTAAGGGCTCCACATATGGACTATTGAATAGACTATGCAGAAACATATATATATTTTTCAATTCAGCTTTCAAAAGTTACACCGAAAGTATTACCTTAAACATGAAACTTTCTGGTGTGTCAGCGTGATGCTAAATGTCAGTTGCAATCGTTTAAAGCTTGCAATATTTTCTCCACTCACAGTGATGGATGGTACTGGCACTCTCTTGGCAGTTAAAAATCAGTTTAATAGTGATGAAGCTGATTAATTCCATAGATCGAGTAGTGAAAGATGCATGTTGGAGAAGCAATAATTTGTTGATATTTTTTCCGCAAGGGTCCCTTTCTTCTCTTTAAATGATGTCCCCAGTGGATCGCTTTCAGAACTCGGATGATTCCGGGCCATCTCTCGGTTTTCCCGGAATGTGCATTATTTTCTCAAGAAAATCTTGCGTTGCATATATGAACAGAGCGCAGAAAGAATTATCATTTTTCTGAATCAATTTGGGAGTGATAAGACGACGATCTCGATGGAGTTCACGCCGGGAAGCTCGGGGTACATAGAATTGTATCCAGAGAGGAAAATGTCGTTGTTCAAGAACCCTTACATTCTGGCTCTCACGGCCGTCGCAGGGATAGGCGGTCTCCTCTTCGGCTACGACACAGGTAATGGAGGTTCTTGTTCAAATACGGTACTCCGTTCGGCAAATTAGATCCTAGATTTAAGTGGATGGAGTATTTCTTATGTTTACCTGGCATCCCTGTTACAGTACTCACTTGAATTTTTCAGGATGAAAATGCAATATGTCTTTTTTTTTTTTTAATGAAAGGATCATAATAATCTTGCTGTTACAATTATTCAATTAATTTGATTATATTCCTTTCAGTCCGGAAATAAAAGTAATTTGTAAAAATTAAGAAAATCAGTTCTGTGAGTTAGGTAAAAATTATAGTTAGTTATCTGTAAAACTTGTTCCTTAGTTTTCATAAATTTTTTATTTTAATCTGAAAACTAACAGAAAAATTAGTTACTATTTATATTCAATAAAGGAGAATTTTAAAAAAATTATAAATTTAAAGACAAAATATATTGAAATTTTATACTACCCAGTCCTAATTATAAGAGCCAGTTGACTAATTTGAAAAGATTAAGAAAGTAAGTTGAGTTAGTTATTTGTCCTAAATAGGTGTTATCTTTCCTAGAATATCCTTGCTAATCAAGTGTATTGACTAGAATTATTATTATTAGAAGGCTACTTAAAAAAAAATGTATAAATATGATAGACAAATTGGATTAAGGTTTTATATTTAGACCAAAATAAAAGTCAAATGGGATTTTATATTAAAGACAAGAGATAGTACTTAAAAAACAAAACAAACACATCTGCCAAATTTTACATTTATAACCGAAAGGGGCATTAGTTCAAGTTTTAAAAGAGTGGATTAACAATCACTTAAGCATATATTATCTTTACTTCTATTATTTACAATCTAAATTTCGACTCAATCAATTTAGATATTAGAAATCAAGTTTTTCTTCAAACTTGATTAAATTTGTATTGGACTCAAGACAACTTAAGAAAGAATATGATCGTGCTTCTTTTTAAGCCCTTTATATGTTACAGGTGTTATATCAGGGGCACTCCTGTATATTAAAGATGATTTTGAAGAGGTGAATCAGAGTAGTTTCCTACAGGTATATAAGTTTGTGTTGTTCCCTCTTGATTCTAAATCTAAAGAATCCAAAATTTAATATACCCATATCATGCCTTGTTTCATATTTCACGCATCGGACAACATATCAAGCCTTTTGTGTCTAAACGAAGCATCAGCCCACCCTACCACTTAGACACCGGAACTCCACGTTGGATCTTTTGTGTTCACAAAAATAAATACATCGTACACGAATGTAGATGGTTTAATCTGTAAAAGCGGTGGAACATGTCAAGTATCACTCCAACTTAGAATAATTAGTTAGATGAAGGTCTATGAGTAGTTTTCGTTGTATTCTTACCAAGCGCCACGAGTTCAGCCAATTGGAAGTAAAGTAAAATTACTGCACGATTTCTCCCTCATTCAAAGATTCTAACAGTTTTAAAATGCCAGGAAACAATAGTAAGCATGGCTTTGGTTGGTGCAATTATTGGATCAGCATTAGGTGGTTGGATTAATGATGAATTTGGGCGTAAAAAGGCCACCCTTATTGCTGATGTAGTCTTTGCCTTGGGATCAATAGTTATGGCACTGGCTCCTGATCCATATGTCCTCATATTTGGACGTCTTCTTGTTGGTATTGGCGTGGGCAAAGCTTCTGTAACTGCACCTGTGTATATTGCAGAAGCAGCGCCCTCAGAGATCAGAGGAGGACTTGTGAGCATAAATGTGCTTATGATTACTGGAGGACAGTTTCTCTCCTACCTCATAAATCTTGCTTTCACACAGGTTAGCTTTATTCTGCCTTCTTTACAAATTACGTTTGTAAACATTATATGTCAGGAGGACAGTATCCTAGAATTAGTATTTGGTATTTTCTGGCAATGTAGTTCCAATCGATTATACTGGAAATCCTTTCCTTTGGATTTGACTTCTCATTTTCCGTTTTGATGCTATGGCTGTTGATTTCTCTGGCAACAGAAAATTTTTATTAGTTGCTAAGATGTATAGATGTCAACAAAACATCGGCTTCAGCTAGAGGACAACAACTAGAGTTGGAAAAGAGGTTTACTATGGATTTTATATTTGCTTTATCATAAGAGAAGTGCAAATAGAAATACTGTTATACAGAGTTGACCAGTTATTTCTTTTGCTATATTTTTTAAGCTTCTCGTCAGGTTTTTCAGTCAACTAGAGGTTTCTTCCTGGATAACCTTCTTGCACAATATTTAACAAAGCAGGTCCCTGGAACATGGCGATGGATGCTAGGTGTTGCTGGTATGCCGGCAGTCATTCAGTTTTGTCTCATGCTCTGCCTACCTGAGTCACCACGGTGGCTTCTTATGCAGGTAAAATTGATCCTCTCATTAAATGAATATTAAACTAGATAGTGTTATTCTGAGATGTTTCCTCTGCTAAAAGCTTTATTATTTATCTTCAAATGTTTGCAGAATAGGAAAGATGAAGCAGTTTCAGTCCTTTCCAAGATCTATGATACGAATCGCTTGGAGGATGAAGTGGAATATTGTTGTGCCCAGTTGGAGGAAGAACTTGAGAAGCAAAGCAAAGTTAGATACTTGGATGTGTTCAAAACTAAAGAAATTAGACTCGCATTTCTTGCAGGGGCCGGACTTCAGGTTTAAGATTTTTCTTGAAACTCTTCTTGTTTTTGAACTTGGATTATCCTGGTGTTTAGAATGATCCTTCAGAATGCCCTACCTCCATGAGAGAAGGGTAAGATCAAGATGTCTTGCGGCAGAAAAAAGAAATATGCATACATTTGGTCATATGGGGGTCACAATTGAACATGGATTAATCTTTCAACATTTTCACGTAGGTTGTTGTTAACTACTTGTATTATATTCTTCTAATGCTTCTTAAATGGAACCTCCATATCCGACCACTATGTGCTGACTCCTTGTTCCTCTTTCCCCACCGATCCACCAACTCATTTAAAACAAACCAAAGGCAAAAATACGGCCATCTTCTTCCATGAATTTTGAGTCATTGCCCCTTTTCTCAATATGTTGTTTTCAACCTATTATTAAACTTCAATGCGATCTCTAAGAGTTTGCTACCAGTTCTCAATTCTTTATGGCATGTTGAGGATTTTATACGTAGGATTCAACAAGTAATGTTTTGTCTTAGAAAACGCGGTAGCATATGCTGACGAAGTTGGGTATAAGTGTCATCTGGTATGATATTCTTCTAAATTGACGGTAATGAAAAACCATTAAATGTAACCAGAGAAGGTTCTCTTACGACTGTCCTATGACTTTTTGCAGGCTTTTCAGCAGTTCACTGGCATCAGCATTGTGATGTACTACAGCCCAACAATCATAGAGAGGGCTGGCTTTCATTCCAAACAATTAGCTCTTCTCCTATCCCTCATTATCTCCAGCTTGAATGCTGCTGGAACAATCCTTGGCATTTATCTTATCGACCACGCAGGGCGAAAGAAGCTGGCTCTTGCAAGCTTATCTGGTGTGGTTGTTTCTCTGGGGATCCTTTCTGCTGGATCCTTCCTAGATTCATCAGGTTCTCATGATGGAAACTATGGATGGCTTGCAGTTTTAGGCCTAGCGTTGTACATTGCTTTCTTTGCGCCAGGGATGGGACCGGTGCCATGGACAGTAAACTCTGAGGTATATCCTCAAGAATACCGTGGCTTATGTGGAGGCATGTCAGCCACAGTGAATTGGATTTCAAGTGTGATAATGTCCCAAAGCTTCCTTTCAGTTTCTGATGCTTTAGGACTTGGTGGGAGCTTCTTGATCCTTGCTGGTATAGCTCTAGTTGCTATTCTGTTTGTCGCCTTGTTTGTCCCAGAGACAAAACAACTCACACTGGATGAAGTAGAGCAGCTATGGAAGGAAAGGGCCTGGGGAAGGGATTACAAAAGAGAAAGCCTTCTTTGAGAAAGGAAATAAATAGCATCTGCAGGTTGTTATCTGAATTCAATGGGCCATTCATATACTTTCTTTCTTATATGGTCAATTATTGTACCTAAACAAATTGGGTTTTAGCTTAAAGGCTAAAATCCTCCAGGGACACAAATTACATGCTAGCTTAGCATTCGGTGAAGTACAAGTTTCGAACTAACAAGTTATCCAAGCAATATGTTGCCTTGCATTTTGGAGGAGGATGGAAAAGTAAGAAAGTAAAAATAAATGGAAGAAGAATTAAGATGTTGTATTTTTTATTTTTTAACTTGTCACAAGAGAAACAGAGGACAGCATCTAAGCAAAAGAACATGCTACTTGTCTGCTGAAACAGGGGCATGCCGTGTGGAGAATAGAACATACAGGAATTATCCTGGGATGCCCCTTGCTTCCTAAAGGTTTGCTCAGGGCAGAGGAGATTTCTTTTTTTTTTTTCCTTTTTTTTTAAAAGAAGAAATTAGACTAAGCAACATCTAAAATCATTCTTGGCCGCAAAATCAGGGGAAAATGACCTCAGATAATTGATTGCTTGGTACTCTGTCTCTGTTTACAGTGTGAGAGAATGGCTACAGTTTTAAACTTGCGTGATATTCAAATGACCTCAGAAAAAGTAATACATTTGGTACTTAATATAAGACCTTGTTTGACTTTTACTTTGCTGCTAAATATAAGACTTCAATCACTTTGTCTCTTATATTTATAAATTTTTTTTCCCAAGGCAGTTCTTTTATAATTGTAGTTCTAACCAACACACTTGATTAATAAAGATATTTTAGGAAAAAACAACACATATTTATTACAGATAACTAACTAACTTATTTTTTTAATCTCTTCAAATTAGTCAACTGGTTCTTATGATTAAGACCGGAGGTAGTATTGGTTATTGAATCATGGATTGGAGCCAGCAAGCCGGTGGGGATAAACTCTGTACTGAGTCGCTGGACCCTATCTCTCCCCTCCCCCGGGGGTATTCTCCTGAAAATAGGATTGGAAGTGCACATGCTTAAAAAGTGCATCATATCAGTGGCCAGGTTTAAAAAAAGAAAAAAAACCAGCAAATCCGTATTCAATTCGTATTCTTTTTTGCTTCCTTGTTTCTACGTTTTCAGGCTTCATTTGTCTCCATGGTCGACTTAGGCATGACATTCCCTCGCTGTCTCCTTTTTTCTACTTAGCATTAACCATCCTAATCTTATTACGAGTATATGTCACTTTGATTTTATTTTCTGTACATCCAGCACTAATAATTTTATTGGCATCAAACACTCTAAACTTACAATAATATTAGAGTGCTGAACGCTGATAAAGAGATGAATATTGTAGTGTTGGATTCATCAAAAAATAAAATTAGAGATTCAAGATGCTAAATACACTCAGAAAATAATATTAAGATACAGAATATTAGAAAAATAATATCAAAATGTTAAATGTTATATTTTTTATATATCCCACAGGCCTTCTGCCTAAGGGAAAGTTTATACATTGGGCCTTGAATTAGATGAACACGTGGAGAGAAAAAAAAAATAGAAAGCTACATTTGATGAGTCGTAGATGGAGTCATTGTCACCTCTCAAGCAAGACGCCCCGAGTGAACTACCACATGCCAGAATAATCAAGAGAGGGGGGGGGGCCTCATAAATTCATTTGAAAATTAAATTAATTAAATGAGCTGAATGACGCAGCATACTGTTTTGATAATATTATTCATTTATTCAAGAGTTTTATTTGAACGAATACGAGGCGCTCACGCGTCCCTCTGATGGTGTTCGCTTCTCCATTGGGCCCAACCCTCTCAATTACTAAACTCACATGGTCGCACACCATGACCCTTTCGGCGAACTTAGTCAATCAACTAAACATATGCTGCCTTTTTAAGTATAAAATCACATTTTCTCATTTCTCATATTAATTTTTCCTCATAATATCCAAATTTATTGAGACATTATTATCCCTGCATATTAAATTTTAATTATTAAATATGATGTTTTTTTTAAAAGCATAGCAAATTTCATGCAAAATTTTGCTAAGAATAGGTATCCTCCGATTGAAGACACTCCTATTTGATGTATTACTTAGTACTAAACATGGACATTTCTTTTAGTAAAAATTCAAATATTGATTCACCACGTTGTGAGCGATTAACTCTTTCTAAACCAAACCCTGTTTGTCAGGTTTCATGTATATTGATCATGAATAACAAAATTATCTATTTTTTATTATATTTACTAGTTAATTAGTTAATAGTAAAATTTTATATTCAATAATTAGAATTGGAAAAGCAACATTTTTCAATAAATACTTTATAATTACTACCTACAGTTCTAATTATAAGATCTTGTTTGTATTCTACAAACAAGGTCTTATAATTAGGACGGGTAGCATGTCCATATGCATGGACCAGACCCGCAACGTGTAGTTAATTGTTACTATTACTGTATCATTAGATTACTGGATAACTAATCTCTCAGAACTGGACGGAGAATTTTGCTCTTCAATTCAATTTTTTCTGCATTAGTGACGTCACAATTTCATGTGATCAAGTATTAAACATGACCGTTACTGGGAATACAACCGCGGGAGTGGATAGGCGGCCTTGTGGAGGCAAAAATTTCAGGAATGTTTTATTTTATTGGGATTGACTCTTAAGTTGATCGATTCAAGCTGGCCGGTTTGACTTGTTTTTTGTAATTTAAATGAACAAATATTGTTTAAAATCAAATAAATCAAACCATTTCATAAATTAATTTTAAAATAATAATAACTAAATATTTAAAATATTATTAATATTATTATATAAAGAATTTTAAAAAATATATAAAAAGATCTAAACTATAAAGCCAACCTTTTTAAGTGTGTTTTTTATTTGAAAAGAAAAATTCTAAACTCAGGCCTCATAATTTTGGAGCCTAAACCAACTCTGCCTGTTTTCTGGAATCAAATATGACCTACAATAGTTGGTGCAAAAATTTATAAGCTCATATCACCCAAAAAAAATAATTTATAAGCTCATAATCCTCGGACGAATAAATTATATTGCAAGTCGGTGAAAAAAGCAAAGAACAAATTATATTGAGAGAACAATCTCATTTAAATCTAACAATTTTTAAATATGATCCAATAATACCAAGCGTAAAATACATTTGGTGATAGAATCACTCAGTAAGCATGACTTACAATCTTAAAACATCATAGTGTGCTTTTTTTAAAATAATAATAATATTTTAAGGGAACATGAATTTTAGATTTCAAGATAATGATATATTTCTATAATCACGGAGGAGTCTTTAAATGGTTATTTTCTTCAGATTACTTTTGGAAAAAAAACCAAACCATTAAGATGATATTTAGAATCTCAATTTCGGCAGCGAAACATATTTAAGATAGTTATTGTAGGAAAAAAAAGTTAACCGACATAAACTAATATCAACCACAAACCCAGAGTGGATCCTCCATTCGTCCTTTACACACCTTCTCTTATTTTCCTTATGCAGTTCTCCATTTAAAAAAATTATAAATGAGAAAAATATTTTAAATAAATGGATGAAATATGAGTAAAGATTTAAAATTTATATTCATTCGATGTAGATATAACACAGAAAATAAAAAATGGCACAGTTAATTTATACTACCTCTGGTTAAAAAACATTATTTGCAATTTACAAATAAAATTTTATAATTAGCATCGGAAAAAAGAAAAAGAAAATACCGTGAAAATTGTTTCTGTTAGGCCTCGTCCGACCCAACTCACGGGCTCCCCTTTCATGTGCTGTCCTCTTTACGTTGGATCATGCGCCAACTAATATTTCACCAAATCGGAGAAAAATGTCTGGGAGAATTAGGGTTCCAAGTAAGAAAAATAATTAAAAACAAGTCTAAAAAACTGTCATTCTCATTATAAGACTTGTTGTCATAGGCTGTTCAGGTTGTTATTGAGACTTTTTGATAATTATTTCTCTTGTGTGAAATTTGATTATAATTCTTCCAAAATGTTTTTACCTCCGCAAAGAAAATGGTTTGAATATAAAGTACTTCTTTAGTCTTATTTATAAATTATTTTTAGTGTATTTTATACACACTAAGAAAAATTTTAAATTTTATTAATTCTCATTTAAAATCCAATAATTTTTTAATTTTATCTTTAGTTAATATACATTATATTTCATATAAATAAAATTAACACAATAACAAATGAAGAGTAAATTGTATATTAACCTAAAATTTCTCTCAATACGTTATAAATAGGACTAAAAAATATCTTTCTCTCTTTGTCCTATAAATAAAACCAAAAGAGTACTACAAATTTATGGACGCGCTTATTGGGATTGTTTTCTTTAAAAATATTATAAAAATTATAAATTACAAATTAAGATCCATTACAAGACTTGCATAAGTTTTGACAACAAATTTTTGACAAAATATTTGATTCGCGATTTCATAATTTTGACTTTTTTTTTGGGTGATTTTTCCTTTAAAATATCCATGTAAGCACTTAAATTTTATTTTGTTGGAGATAAAATTTCTTGCATATTTATTTTGCAAATGACGAAATCATTTAAAATAAAGTAATTCAAAGTCATTGAATTTCACGCTGCTCTAATACCCCCCCCCCTTTTTTGGGTTCCTGAACCTTTCCACCAACATTTTCCATCGCGATCTCACAAGGCGCGCCACGTGTACCAAATAGAGGGAAAGCGACTCAAATTTCAAGGCCCTTATCGCAGACCGACGCGCGCCATTGCCTCCTCAATTCGTGGATATCATCAACTTCGCCCAATATTATCATGTTCTATATGTGGCGACGCTGATGTAAGAAATTAATCCATCTTCTTCTACTATTTCATTATTCCACATTTCCACGTCATCTCGCTTGTGTCCAAGCCACGTTCCAGATAAGCACAAAATTGTCGGATCGGACCAAATTGTTGAAAGAAAAATTATGAAATTGCTATTTGTCGTCTTTCTGCAGCGTCGGCGTTTGATTCGTTTGTGACTAGCTTATGGGCGATGTCAAGAATAAACACAGGATTTGAAGTTTTCTGATCCTCTCCTCTTTGGCTACGATACAGGTACTCTTGATCTCTCCTTCTTCGTCTTATTCATGGATTATGAGTGACAATAGTAGCATTTGAATTACTATTTAACTCAGGAGAAATTATTATTATATTTTAGATTTAAATAAATATTAATATAATCAGCGATTATTTGTGCACTTAATCGTGTTTTGGGAAATGAAATCTGGTTAATTTTGTACTTTTATGGGCTGTCTGCTCATATGTTTCTGCTTTCGAAGATGTTTTTGGAAACTTACCGCTCCTCCAAGTCGCACTCCTATTTGTTTTGCATAAGAATAAATCGGGTCGGGCGAGCAAGCAATTCCAACCTCACTACAATTATGTAACCAGTTCGCAACTCCAATCTCGTTAAATAAATATATTCTGAAGGATAAACTAGAAGCGGGGCCTTCCATGTTGGGCTTAAGTTATCGAGAACGGTTGCTCAGGAAAGTTGAATTTGTCACGGTTCTTTACAAACTCACGTCCTCATGGAGAAACTATTCATTATATTCCACATCAGTTTCATTTGTAAGAAGGGAATGGAAATAGGAATTCGGGAGGTAGTTAAGTTGGTTGTCAGCTGCTGCTTCAATAAGTTTCGAATTTTGGTTCCACTTGGGAAAGATATCCCATAACCTTAACTTGCATTTTAGATAACGTTCGTCCTGCAAAGATGTTATATTCCATCTGCTGAGAGAGAGGATTGGAACCGTTGAGACTCGCCTGAGATTTAGAATCACCCACATTCTTTTTTTCCTTCCAAGCAGAGATGGATCTGCTTGTTACTTCTTGGCAGGTGGAGTGATGGATGAAACTTGGTATTTTTGGCTCTGAGAATGAGGTGATGTTAATTATGTATAGTAATAATTCATTTGCCCCTCTTCCTTCAAGACTTGGGTGACGATCCTACTGTATTATTGTGATTACAATAAGGAAGGAATCATATCTTTAAATTGGGTAAGTTGTATTTGAGTAGGGCATGTTTTGTGTTTTTTTAATTATGTTGTTTATCTTCAAAAAGAAGAGTCAAATTATTGTTTATAATTATTTTCCTGACAACCAGAAAATGATCATGTTTGGAGTGGGACAACAAGCAATGATGAAACGCAATAATTTTTGTTAGGTTAATATGATTTTTTATTCCTAAAATTTGGATCTATTTTAGTTTCGAAATATCAAATTTTGAATTTGTTATTTTAGTTTTTAAAATTTAATTCATTCTAAAACGTTAATTCTTTCAAATATAACGGTGTTAAAAATATTGCAAACAGTAATGAAGTAGTAATGCGGACCTACGGGATATCATTTAGATGGATCTTGTATGGGTAATAAAGCAAAAAAAAAAAAAAGGCTTTCAAAACGTAATTGTTTAGCGTTTGTTTTTCCTACCGTTCTATCACTCTGTTTGAAGAATTGTTAATTACGTTATGTTTTGAAAACTCATTCTCTTCTCTATAATCATTTTTTGCATTGCATTTTAAGGGCTTATCTTTTATTTTTATTATTTATATATACACAGGATTCATTAGATATCATCATTTTACTACGGTTTATAACACTAAAGTAAATTTTAATGCTGCGACATTTCTAGAGACTAATGTGTTAAGACAAATTAAATTTTAATAATTAAAACCACGGACTTAAAATTTTAGAGATCAAAACTCAAATAGGATTAAAATTCAGGGACAAAAAATTATACTCTTCCAATTCTAAAAGTAAAACTTATTTTATACTCCTCTGGTCTTTATTATAAGACCCAATTTGACTTTTTATTTGGTCCTAATTATAAGACCCAATCCATTTTGTCTCTTATATTTATGCATTTTTTTCCAAGATAATCCTTCTAATAATGATAGTTTTAGCCAATATACTTAATTAGCAAGGATATTTTAGGAATGACAACACTTATTTATTATAAATAACCAACTTAACTTACTTCCTTAATCTCCTCAAATAAGTCAATTGGGTCTTATAATTAGGACCGGAGGAGTAATATAAAATAAATCTTATATTTAATATCATAATGTTGTTGTTGTTATTATTATTATTACTCCTCCGGTCCTTATTATAAGACCCAATTTGACTTTTTATTTGGTCCTAATTATAAGACCCAATCCATTTTGTCTCTTATATTTATGCATTTTTTCCAAGATAATCCTTCTAATAATGATAGTTTTAGCCAATATACTTAATTAGCAAAGATATTTTAGGAATAACAACACTTATTTATTATAAATAACCAACTTAACTTACTTCCTTAATCTCCTCAAATAAGTCAATTGGGTCTTATAATTAGGACCGGAGGAGTATTATTTTTTGGCGAAAGATAAGAAACGCAATAATTGTGTTTAATGGGACAAAAGTGTGCATGCCTCGCTGTGGGACCGGGACCCGGGACCCGGGACCCGGCCATGCAACGCTGTGCTGCAGCTCTCCCTTTGGCATTCCCGTGTGCGTATGCCACCCGCCTCACCGAGAGGGGAGAGGCTCTTTGTCATTTCAATTATTTTTGTTTCTAGAGTCTTTAATGATCATAAAGTTTTTTTAATTCAATCTAAGCACTTGCTCTAGCCACTCTTTTTTCCCCGAAGCATTTGCTCTAACCGCGTTCTATCTTTGAACCGTCTTTATAATAACCTTCAGAATACAATTTATATTTTCAGTTTATACCAAAAAAATATTTTATAAACGTATATAGGATAGAAATATTTTGTTGGCACAAAAAAATATTGGTACCAGTATTGTACTACCTTTAATCCTAATTATAAAAGCTAGTTGACTAATTTAAAGAGATTAAAGAATAAAGTTAAATTAATTATTTGTAATAAATGTGTTGTCTTTCCTAAAATATTTTTACTAATCAAGTATATTGGTTATAACTATCATTGTTAGAAGAACTATCTTGAAAAAAATATATAAACATGAAAGACACAATGAATTGAGGTCTTATATTTGAAACCAAAATAAAAATTAAACAAGATCTTATATTAAATACCGAAGGAAGTACTCCTCCGGTCCTTAATATAGGACCCAATTATTGAGTTGGTTTTGGTCCTAAATATAAGACCTATTTCTTATATTTATCAATTTTCTCTAAATTACCTCTATAGATATTTCCTCAACCATAATCAAGTAGAAGAGGAAAAGAGGTATTAAGAAAGATAATCATGGTGTTTTAGGAAAAACATGTCATATTTCTTATAATTAACTAACTTACCTAACTTTTTTAATCTAATCAAATTAGTTAAATGGGTTTTATATTAAATATCGGAGGAGTAATATTTATTTGAACTAATTTATTACTTTATATGAAAGCGCCAAACATATTGCCGTAAGAAATAATTTTAAAATTCAGGCGCCACATCATCCTTTAACCGGATTAGCACAACGGCGATAGCTTCCAGCTGGCGCTGACGTTTCAGTTCCCTCGTCCTCACAGTAGCGCGTGGCTGCTCTGCTGATTTCTATTTCTGGAAACTACTCAAACAGAATTTAAAGCTTCAAATTCTTCTCTGAAATCGTCCAGCTTTTCTTCCACTCCCATAGCTCAGTGTAGCATGTTTTTGCAAATTCTGATTGTAACTCCTCCCTAGTGTGAACCCATTTTTGAGTCCAAAAAAAAAAAAGAACCCATTTTCGATTCTGTGAAATTATTCATGGCTTCCCACTCTTCACTGTATTTCTCATTTCCAAGCCTATGACTCTTCCTATGTTCACTGGCCATTTCGGGGGTTAATATTTCCAACGTGAAGTGGCTCAATCAGGGTCTTTTCTGTGTTGATTTGCTTATTGTACGCTGACTTAGATAGAGTGTTCTTGTTTCGTACCCGACGATGACGATCATTATGCAGTCCGCGCCAGGAAGCTCAGGGTATTTAGATCTATACCCTGAGAGGAAAATGTCTCTTTTCAAGAACCCTTATATTCTGGGACTCACTGCCGTTGCCGGCATCGGTGGACTGCTCTTCGGTTACGACACAGGTACACAATTATTGGTGACGACTATAGTGTCGATGAGTGGAAATAGGATAACCACTGATTAAGCTTTTCTGACCATATTTGATTCAACTTAAATCCTTGTGATTGGTGCATTAGGTAAAGTTTAATTTATTCTTGCTTCAGTAAGTAACTAACCTCCCTATTGCATAGCATCAAGGGTTTGTTGACCTATTCCTTGCATAAATATATCCAGACCATTGAAAAGACATGATTTATTGATCACTAACATATGCTCTGTATACATATTTTCTTTTAGCTTCTAGTGTTGGAGCATTTAGAAGGGAGGCTTGTGCTGAAAGAAATTCTTTCTTTAAAACCAGGTTGACTTGTATGCATGAATATGTGGCTTCATATAAGTTTTCTCAAAAGGTAACAAAGGCAATGTGAAAATTAACTTTCTTCACAATGTCTTATTATCACTATACTTTCATCATGGGAACCGCTCTTATAGCTAATATCCCATACAGACTAAATGTATTATTGAAAGTGTTGCTCATTCTGAATAACTTCTCTGATTAAACAAAAAAACAAAGAAAGAAGGAAAAAATCTCATGTCGGAATGCTGTTTATTATAGGCGTTATATCAGGAGCCCTTCTGTATATTAAAGATGATTTTCAGGAAGTGAAAGACAGTAATTTTCTACAGGTACAATATTCTATGCCCTCTTTCAATGTTGGGAGCTCAGAAGTAGACTTCATTGTGCACAGATCAATCTTTTTTTATAAAAAAAAATGTATTACTGGGAAAAAAGTGAGACGATGCGTTTACGGGGGGGAGAAATCTTGTTACAAAAGGGGGGAAAAACACAAAAAGAATAGAAAAGAAACCAGCAAACAGAAGTTTCGCAAACACAAGAACTTGCCCTTACTCTTTCAAATCAGTGTTTGAAATTCCCTGGAAACTTGGTCAAGCACATCACTTAAGAGGAGCCATATCCACAATTGTATCTCATAACAAACGTGAGGACCAAGAGACGTTGTTGAAAATATGTTCATTTTTTCTCCAATCAAATACATAACTCAAACCACAAATCATCAACATTAACATATGCAGCCTATTGGAAGCCACATTGTACATAGAGTCGTGAACAATTTAGCTTCCGATCTCAAGCTGCATGCAATGCATAGGATCCGAAATCTAGTTGTGATGGAACCACAGCAATATATCATTGTTCTTCTTGCTGAGACCTTTTGAGCATTTCATGACAAGCTGCTCAGAGGTGAAAGGACGCACCAAAATTCTGAGGATTTCTCGAGAAAAATTCTTAATATGCTTTCTCATTGGATTGATATGTTTACCTGTGTTGCCAGGAAGTAATTGTCAGCATGGCTGTTGTTGGTGCAATTATTGGGGCAGCAGTAGGTGGCTGGATTAACGATGCTTATGGAAGAAAGAAAGCCACACTTATCGCTGATGTTATTTTTACTATGGGATCAGTTGTCATGGCTGCTGCACCAGATCCTTATGTTCTCATACTGGGACGCCTTTTGGTTGGGCTGGGTGTAGGCATAGCTTCTGTTACTGCACCAGTGTATATTGCAGAAGCATCGCCATCAGAAATAAGAGGAGGATTAGTTAGCACAAATACGCTTATGATAACCGGGGGGCAGTTTCTTTCCTACCTCATAAATCTTGCTTTTACACAGGTTAGTTTTCGTGCTTCATCTTTTGGGTTTGGCTTGTGTGACTTGCAACAATATTAGAGGTTATTCAAGCTTAGCATACAATTGATGGTTATAAGTAGTAGAAATTCTAAAATTTTATATGATGCTGAGCTCATTGTAGAAGTACCATACAAAGATCAGGCATCATTGCGGTATATGTGCTCTTCATTTCTATGGAGAAATACTAGTTTATGATAAATGCAACATAAAATCTTCTATAAATGCTTTTCCTGAAACATGACAGTTTGAAGGATCCAAGATTATTTTCTTAAGCAGTGACTGATGATTTGTAATTTTGCTGTGAAATGTCAAACTGCCTAAGCTGGAAAGTCGAAGTACTTGGTTCTAGCTGTCAGTTCAGTCATGAAGCGACTGAGTAGCGACGTGCCTGTGTTGGATTACCATGCCGTTATGAACAAACTTGCCACGGGCCATTAATTGACATTTTGCTGACATTTCTTGAGCTTTTTAGTTTTTCACGAGTTTCAGGATTTACTGTTCCAAACCTCAAACAAATTGCATGAGAAGAGATAGAAAGAGTGATCTAGTGTCTAAGCGTATATTCTGTTTCCAACTTGTTATTATTTCATTGAAAACCTATCCCGTTCTTCATCCGTCAGGTCCCAGGGACATGGCGATGGATGCTGGGAGTTTCAGGTTTGCCGGCAGTTATTCAATTTGTCTTCATGCTTTTCCTGCCTGAATCCCCTAGATGGCTCTTCATGAAGGTACGGACACGCGTTATTAAAAAAAAAGGAGTTCAGGATGTTGCTTTCCAACGACATTAATCATAATGCCATCTTATAATTTTGTCTCGATGTGCAGGATAGGCAAAATGAAGCTGTTAATGTGCTGTCTAAGATCTATGACTTTGCTCGCTTGGAGGATGAAGTTGAATTTCTTAGAGTTCAGTCAGAGCAGGACCATCAGAAAACAAAGGAGATCAAATACTGGGATGTTTTTAAATTTAAACAGATAAGACTTGCATTCCTTGCTGGAGCAGGACTGCAGGTAATAAACTATGAACAAGTCAACGAGGATATGGTGTTTTGGTAAAATATACTGTTCTATATGTGCATCTTTTGACCTCTGATTCAAGTGGGTGAGTGAATGATATGTCAGCTTTGCTGCTTCATGACCTTTTTGTTGTCAAAATGCACGCATCTCTGATTAAGCCATTTTAGGTTCAAGTGCCCCTATTCTGGAAGTTTATTGGGATTAGCTCTGCACTTGAACATCTATGATATCATTCCATGAAAATTAGAAATATTCTGATAACATCCCAGTTGTATGCAGGCTTTTCAGCAGTTTACAGGTATAAATACGGTTATGTACTACAGCCCGACGATTGTCCAAATGGCTGGCTTCCGCTCCAATGAGCTTGCTCTCCTCCTATCCCTCATAGTAGCTGCCATGAATGCTGCTGGCACTGTTCTTGGCATCTACCTTATTGACCATGCAGGCAGGAGAAAATTGGCTCTTTATAGCTTAGCTGGAGTTATCACATCCCTGATCCTTTTGTCTGTGTCATTTTCAAGCCAATCATCTGACTCTACAAATGGATTATATGGGTGGCTTGCAATTTTGGGTTTAGCCCTATATATTGCCTTCTTTTCGCCCGGGATGGGGCCTGTACCATGGACAGTAAACTCCGAAATATATCCTGAAGAGTATCGTGGAATATGTGGAGGAATGGCGGCTACAGTAAATTGGGTTTCAAACTTGATTGTGGCTCAGTCGTTTCTTTCAATTGCTGCAGCCCTAGGGACTGGCTCAACCTTCTTGATTATTGCTGGTATAGCCGTGCTTGCCTTTCTCTTTGTGGCTGTGTACGTCCCAGAAACCAAAGGATTAACATTTGATGAGGTGGAGCAGATGTGGAGGGAAAGAGCTTGGGGCAAGGATCAAATCACACAAAGTCTTCTTCAGCATGGAACTCAACCCTAGCAGTGTGACACGTTGTATGGTCATTCTCCAAATTCAATTTATATGCAATATGTTTAATGTAATGTTGATGGGATACTTCATGCGTCAAAAGCATAGGGACATGAAGTGCCGAAACTAAGTGACTGCCAAGAAACGTTCCATTATGAGAAGTGGAAGAAGGGAAGAAGAGATTTGAGTGTAAAAATAGTGCAAGGAGTCCCCGAGAACATACCAGCATGACTCTCACGTGGGGTTATTGGCATTTTCACCTTAACCAGTTATTTATTTATTTATTAGGCAGTAATAAATGTGGAAATCGGATAGGTAGGTGGCTGGTTTCCATCAACAACAAATGGAGATGGAATTGCGTCTGCTACTTGGGTGGTTGGCTGAAAAGCGAGTCAAATGGTAATTGTCCTCTCAACATAATAATGTAGCTGCAAAGTAGTGCAGTGGCATTAAAGCGTGGGGGACCAAAGCGCAAACCCCATGAGTGTGGAGGATTGAATGAATCGCAACGCAGGGAGTCCCAAAGCGCAAAACGCGTGTCTCGGGGGCCTAATATTAATGGTTCTGATGAGGGCTTCCTGTACCAGGATCATGATGCCATCTCTCCAATTTCATTAAAATTGGCCCTTGCGTTTTTTTTTCGGTAATTTAAAAAAATACTGTTATCATTTTTAAAATATACTGTTATCATCTTACTCCTACGTCGCTTTATAATTTTAATACAGTATTAACCATACTTTCAGCTGTTTTAATATCCTCCAATGCGAAACAGAATATTTAACAAAGTATTCAGTTCAAAGTTATTTTAGTAAAATATCACTAATTTTACTTGTATTAAAAACCAGACTATTTCCATTATAATCCACCTTATTTAATAATCTTTTTAATTTTATGTGGAAACCACACAAAAAAGTAAACAAAGGATATAGTAGGAGTAATGGTAATCTTGGACCAATTTAAGTTCACGTTTGTAATAAGGAGCTCTCAAGGCGGTTACCAGTTAAAAAAAAAACAAAAAAAAAAAAACAAAAAAAAAAAAGGGAAAATGAAGGGGGGGACAGCGAGTGCCGTGTGGGCTCCGGGGCCACGTGGGTGTCGTAGTTGTGGGGGTCCACCACGCGCATCGTCACCATCGGTCCGTCACCATCCGTCCACGTGCATGACCCATCCTTCGCCTTTTCCTCCCTTTGTTTACCTTCACCCCAATCATTTATTCGCACTTTCCTCCCTTTGTCTCAACCCTTGCCATTTTCCTCCTTAATTCACAGTCTGAGTTTAAAGTTTAAACACTATTTTGTTCCACATTCCCCTGCATACATTAATTAATTTTCAAATATAAAAAAGATAAGTAAATTAATTATCTCCAATTCAGTGAATTCACCTGTGAAAAACCCCGTGTTATATTTAGACTTTGAAGGGAGTCGTGAGTTTCAAAAACAGAATTTATTAAAATGTTATATTTAAAAATAAAAATGAATATTTTATTTGACTTCTATATTTAGAACTCTAAATGATACCATAATTATTCATGGAACTCTGGGCATGTCTGTATAGCTAGATTGATTAGCTAAAATGGGTGTATTTGTTTTAATTGTAGAAGTGAGTATTAACTAGTCACTTTTTTTTTTGGGCCATTGGAGTATTAATAATGTAATCCTATTTATGAAAAAATTTCATATTACAGCGCCAACGAAATAAAGATCGAGAAGTATCCAGATTGGTTGGGAAAGTGGTCGATTTCTGATGCGCCTGCCGGTTGCTTTGTGTCATTCGTTCCAATAGTAATCATTTAATTGAATCGATCGCAATCTTCAATGTTCAAACAAATCGCAGCTTTTGAATACATGTACTGCCAGCTTTTGAATGTATTGTAATGGAAGCCCCTCCCACCAATCCTGGGCTGCTTCGTGTGAAAATTTCCAAACCTTTCACGCTAAGCTGTCACTAAACATTAAAGCTGATGAGAAATACGGCGGCGAATATTCAGCACGAGCATGCACGTGATCAATCAGGTAGTAATTAATTACAAGGCATTCATCAAAATCAATTAATCTTTAATTATAATTATCGGGCCTGGCACGGCAGTGAGAAATTTCTTCGTTTCACACGCCACGTCAATTGCTTCTTTCATACTGTCATGTTGGAGTTCTGTGGCGTGTTGGTGGGGATGCTTCTTTCAAAACGGTGCACAGTGTATTCAAAACATAGACAGCAATTTTTTTAGGCTTAGTTTGTTCCCACTTGCTTTTATAAGGTATAAACTGGGTTAATTAGAAAAAAAATTTTAAGGTACAGTCAAGATCTTTACATATAAATTTACTTCTAAGATTTAAGCTAAGATAACAACGATATTTACAAAGTGATAATTTAACTCTTTCTCTATGAGTACTCAAGGACAAAAGTAATAAGTTTGATCTTAGTATATTGTATTTG